TGACAATGTTCCGTGTATTTTTGGTTATTACTATTTTAGGTAATAAAACTACCGTTAAAAAAAATTAGTCAAAGAATTTTTTTTCCTTGCTTTCAAATATTAATGTAGTTAAAGTATGAACTACACCAAGCTGTGCTGTAGCTAAAAGTCCTAATTATACATTGAAATATTTACCGAAATAGTTGAAAGACGTCTCAAACAAAAGTAATGGGTTTCCTTAAAATACAAACCGGTTTTTCTCTTACAAACGTGATACATCAATATAACATCTAAAGTTGTTTCAAACTAGAAATTAAAAAAAAAAAATTAACTGCATTTTAAACATTTTTAAAATATTTTTTTTTTTAAAAATACTAAATTTTTAAATTCTATAAACTTTAATTTTAAAATCTTAAAAAAGTGTGGCGATACTCAGACAACGAAATGAAAAAAAAAAACTACAAAAACCCGGGTTTCTTCCGTGTCGGAAATAATGACCGGATTCCTTTCAACAAACCTGGCTGGTGCCATTTAAACACCATCATACTGAAACACCACCGTCTCACCATTTAAAACACCATCCTACTAAACCACCACCGTCTCACCAGTTAAAACACCATCCAACCAAAACACCACCATCTCGACATCTAAAACACCATCCTACTGAAACATCACTGACTTAACTAGCCGAAACGTAGGCTTATAACATCGTCAATAATCCACCCTTTCTGTTTATGTGACCTCGACACTTTAAAGACAGATTGGCCAGTTCTACGCCTAACGTCTATATTTTCTCCTATTAGGGTACCCATTTGAGCTAGGGTTTCTTTCAAACGTTTGCTCCTAAAAGTGGGGTGGACAGGGGCAGTGTCGTGGTTTTGTGGAAGTGAAGGCGCTCAGAGATGCCTGAAAGAAACACTGATCTGTTGTTTGGACCGGGGGGGGGGGTGGTTCCTTTATTACCCGAGCCCATACATAGCCGATAATCTGTGGATTATGATAATCTACCTCGGGTAGATTATTTTCACCCAGACATCAGAATGTTTCAAAAAATCTAGTTATTAGCGCTTAATGTTTTAGTTTGGACAAAACACAATTGGCATTTTATATCAAGGTTCTGTGTCGTTAAGATAAATAATTAATCATGATTTTAATCAGTAAAATTATCAGTTATTTAATTATTTTTTTATATAGAAAAAAAAATCTATTTCTAAACACAATTTTTACAAGCTTTTATTTAACTCACTTCCTCGTCAGTCGTCAGTCTAGACGGAAACGCAGGAGTGAAAATTCGGACAGTTGTACTTGACCGACACGATTCACAGTTGGCACGTGGGTCAAGACATGAAGACAATGCAATCTGAAACTAAATTTGACTTAATTGGATGCCTAATTGATTTTTTATGAATTAATTAAAATTTGGACCGAATTAGTAGGCATGTCTAGCCAACCACACCACACGCGTCATCAATAGCTGCGCCATCACGACCACGTAATGGCTGCGTTCAAAAACCATTGCGCGCCTACTGAACGTGATATTCAGTAGGCGCGCAATGGTTTTTAGTCATGTAACTCTATTGTAGATAAAACATGTAAAGTACTGAAAAAAAAATTCATAAAAAACGTTTTAATAACAAGCTTTTATGTAATGATGCACTAAAAAGTAGAAAATAAATTATAGACTACTATTTAAATAACTATAAAGAAAAGCGTGGGTGTCTTCCTTAATATTAGTAAAGGTATCCAATAAATACTAAAGTGACCCACGCTTTTCTTTATAGTTATTTAAATAGTAGTCTATAATTTATTTTCTACTTTTTAGTGCATCATTACATAAAAGCTTGTTATTAAAACGTTTTTTATGAATTTTTTTTATTCTTATTATGGATTATTATTTATATATGGCTATTTATTTGTCTATTAATCTTTAATTTGTATTTTTATACTTCCCTATTCTAGTTTTATTTAGTGTTAAAACGCTTTACGTTGAAATGTGTATAACCATATCACACATTTTCCTTTTGTATTTTAAAAATTTAGATTTTTCACTGAAAACGTGTATTTGTACTAACCAATTCATGAATGTGGAGGGGGGGGGGGGGGTTGTTGAGTTTTGGGATTGTGGATTGATGTGTAAAAAAGAGGTGACTTTGGTTGTTGTACAAGACTTACGGCCCTTTTTACAAGATGTAAAAAATTAAAAGGTCTGAAAAGGTACACTTCTAAACAATGGGGGAGCACTCGGGGACGCATAATTACGCAATACATTAACGTATATAAATTATCTTCTCCTGTGCTCGGCGACAGCAGAAATATGAAATATGAGCTAGGAAGACGGAGGGGGAATACAGCGCATAACGAGTCAACGGATTTATGACCAAAGGCCATTTAGGATTTTTTTTTTTACCTTTATGGGAGAAGCGTTGTGTTGATACAGTTGTCCTGTTGTGCGCTTCAAAGAGTACGTGGAAGTAGCGCAGTAAATTTCGTCAAAAAAAAATAGCGCGAAAAGTAGCAGAAAATAATGTATTAAAGTAGTGTAGGGAGTAGCGTTTTAAAGTAGCACAGCTGAACAGCGAGCAAGAGAGTAGCGCTATTTTTGTAGCAGACATGGCGCGACGATGCCAACTACAAAACGTTTACACACTTAATACGCCTGTTGATTTGTTTTTGAAACTCAGAAGCCTTGATTCATACTGTGGCTCCATAATGGGACGGCCCAATGATTTGAACCAGGATTCGAACTCGAGACTCTCGTTTGAGCAGCCAAGCTCTCTACCGCTAGGCCATGCTAAATTGGTTATATTGACTGAAAACATTGTACTCGTCTTTATAACCAACGTTCCCTCTCACTGGAAAAAAGCTAGCTACGAGTATTTTGTTTGAGCGGTGTTTTGAAAGTCGTATACGAGGATGTATGTATTTTACAAACGACTGCGCGGTCGCGCAGTTTAGAGGAAATATCGTTTGTAAACATCTATCAAACTTATTTACCCTTTCTTATTTGAATAAAAAATATTTTTTCAAATACTTTACTTCATTGAAATGTTATACCCAAACGAAGAATACCTAATACATATACATCTTTAGAAATCAATAAATAAAATAATAATAGTAAAAAGATAAATAAAACATTCATATATATTGGCCTATATATATATATATATATATATATATATATATATATATATATATATATATATATATATATATATATATAATTTATGTATTTAGTGATATAGATATCCTTTGCGTACAAAGCCATGCCGGCATTTAGAGAACTGAAAATATAGCCTAACTTTACTAAGGATGCTGAGCCAACACTGCTACCCTGATTCATTGTTCTCTAGTAATATAAGCAGATCTGTTGCGCATGCTATGTTCTAAAAATGGTGTTTTCCTTTAGTTACTTTACTAGTCTAACCATACTTGTGACGAGGGTATAACCGACGAAACAAAGTAAGAATCAAACTTGGTCTTTGAGCATCGTGTTGAAATGAAAGATTTAAACAAAACCTATATTCAAGCGACGATTCGGGAAGAGAATCAAGTTCATCTACACGGCAAAAGGCATGTCGCAACCCATCTCTCTATCACTGCTTGTAGCGACAGAACTCTACACTGAAGTCATGATTTACACGTTTCAAAACACAACGTGAACAAAATGACAACGTGAACAGTGTGACAACGTGACAGTGGACGTGACAGCTGAAGTGACCCACGCAGGTACGGACCCCGGACCGGCGGCGGACGTCTCGGAAGACTCCCGAGCGTTTCCGTGTTCATAAATTGGTGTGGCCGCCATGTTGCCTGTGGGGGGAGATAAACCAGCTGGGGCCTCTGGGTGCACATAGCGCTGTGATGAATTTATGGCTGGGGCGGCGCGGCGAGTCTGGGAGGGGATGGGGGGGGGGGGGGATAGGTTCTGGGCATGCAAATGAGTGCATGACCTAGTTATGACTATTTTTAGGTAACTTACATGCTAAGATTATTGAGCTTGTTTTATAAATTATATTTAGTTTTCATTTCGTATTTATTCGACATTTTAGTTTTTCGTCACGTGGAATACTCACAATGGTAAACAGAAAAGGAAGTTTGTATTTAAGAGTAGTAAAGTAAGATTTGAAATACCCTGCATGAAGTGGATGCTCAAAGTGTAGATGAAGTAGAGTTCATCTGTTGTTTTTTTTTTTTTACCACGGAGTAAGAATGGTTTGTGTGTTGTGCACAATGCTCATCCGTCTTAGCTTTTACTCACAAAGTCAGAACACAAGGGGCGGAGTGGTGGATGTTACCCTGACTAGATCTGAACATAATAGCACGGGTCAGCAGTTGTGTGCTCTAACACTCGACCCAGATATTGTTTTAAAACTCTGTGTTGGTAAAAAAAAATTGCCTTCTCTGAGACAGTGTATGAAACAAGTCTTTAAATCAGAACCATGTAGACAGAATAAGACAAATTTCACCACAGACTCCGCAGGACCGGACTTAATTATGTAAGGTTGGTTTGAATACCATAAATCAAAGAGTAAAATAGAGGGAAATAATAATTTGGTGCAACATTGAGATTAAACTAAAGCAAGGATTTCAAACAAACTCGTAAACAGGGATAGAGATTATGCAAATTTTATAAAAATTTCTAATTAAAGTGTTGCAAAAAATTGGTTGTTATACCACCCTTTAATTAGTTTAGAATTCTGGTGTTTATTATATATATATATATATATATATATATATATATATATATATATATATATATATATATATATATATATATATATATATATATATATATATATATATATCTTTAATGTAACTAAAAGGCGTTGAGGAATTAGCCGTATAAGACACACGTTTAGAATATATCGCCACTAAGTTTTGTAAGTAAAGGAACGAATCCCCTTATTAAAGCTCAAGAACTATCAAAAGACCAGTAACAATGTCTGGATTTAACCCTACATATATCCGTTCAACCGTGACGTGGTACGGCTAACCCAACAGTGCCCTATGAAGAAATGAGATTAGCCGGACGAACCTAGAAACGGGTACTCACCCCTCTGACAGAGCGTCTGGTAGGGGGAAATGCTGGGTGTTTTGTTAAAGTCCAGGTTCGGGGACATCTCAGAATTCCTCCAGGAATTGTCCAGCACATTGAGTCTCTGGTGGTTATTGCACGTGCACGAAATGGCGCAGCACGACCTTGAGGGGTCATCGCGCGTGCAGCTGTCGTACTCAGACCGGGGGTTTCCGGATGCGCTCTTGTACAGCAGGCCTTCGTACCCGGACTTCATGAGGGGTGCGTCTCGGGGTACGGACGGGCTGTCGGAGGTTGACATGGGGTTGATCTTCCAGTCGGGGGTGTTGGAAGGTTTGCCGGCGCCCGTGTCAGTCTGGAACGGGTAGACGGAGGGTGGGGTGAAGTAGCTGGCCGACCAGGACGGCGGGTACATGCTGGGGTAGTTTCGGTCACAGTTGGTTGATTCGGAGTAGGCCGAGGGCAGGTGCCAGCCCCGAAAGGTGTAGGGGTTCATGCTCGCCAGTTTGGGAACACTTCAAGGAAATACAGAGAACTGGTGCAGTGTTGTGGCGATTTAATCCTTAATTCCAGGAAATTTTAAACTTTCTGATGTAGAATTATTAAATACTAATTACAGTTTTTAATACCATTTCATTTAGAAAACACAATGTTAATACAATGTTGATGCAGATAATTATAGGCTACGTTAAAATATTTTAAAGAAAAGTAATTTTAAATTTCACAAAATTCTCCAATAGTGTAAATTGTTATAATTTTCATAAGATTAACAATTAGTTAAGATTAATCCACTACATCACGTTGTTTATTTTAACTTCTACCACATTATCGTACAGCGTTATCTATATAGAACGTGGGTATAGAAGATTATTGTGGTTGTACAATAATCGCACTCCAGCATACACAAGAGCACCACTACAACACCACTAGAATGACGTCAGCTCACAAGAACACCATTCACGTGCGCTGGTGTATATCCCTGGCTGACTGCTTCCAGTGGGCGTGTCTGGTCTGAATGGGCGTGTCTGGATCAAAAGGGGCGTGTCTGGTTGCAGTGGGGCGTGTCTGGTATAAGGGGCGTGTCTTCCTGTACTCACTCAAGCCAAAAACCTGACCATCTTACGCCTCTTGTGTCAACTGAAAGACAAGAAGAAATCGATTAAATACATATCAAACGGTTGAGACTGAATACGATCAAAACTAGAAATAAGAATCTTAAAGTTCAACAGTAAAAGTGAAACCCAATACACTCAAAACTAGGTGAAAAAGATACGCTTATAGGTAGTATCTAAGACATTTTGTTTCCAAAATTATACAGAAAAATTCAAGTAAAACCCTGAAATAAATAAATAGGTATTGTTGCCTATTAAAAAAACACATCATGAATGCAAGCACATCAACAAAATATATATGTTTCGGTAAAACTGCTGGCCAAGAAAAAATATTAAGTCTGGTATTTTAACAGAAAGCCCAAGATAGACCTGGAGGCGGAGTCTTCTCGAAGAACTGAAGCCAACAGGGATGTCTTGGGAGACTGCAAAATTAATAGCCGGGGATAGGATTAAATGGAAGGATATGGGCATTATGGATGGAGGCTCTATGTTCCATAAGGAGCAGAGGACTAAGTCAAGTCATTGTAGCTGGCTAACACAAAAATATAGTCTGGTATTATAGCCGACTGTGGTTAAATATATTCTATTATTCAATATTTAAGTATGAGGAATTAAGCTATCAAAAATATATTCAGGTATTACATTGATACAAGTATATAAAGTGGGATTAAACTAACCAAAAACATATGTTCATGTATTATAAAGAAACAAATAATTTGGAATTTAACAATCAAAAATATTATTCAGGTTTTATAAAGACCAAAATGTACCATTTTGAATTGAAATAACTAACAAACTATAATCAGGCATATTAAAGAAACAAATTTTACAATCTTGAATAATTAACTAACCAACAACTATATTCAGTAGTTGTAAAGAGAAAAATGTATAATGTTGAGCAGAACTAACCAGTAACTATATTCGGTAATTGTAAAGTCAAAAATGAAGGCCGTAATGTGGAATTGAACTAAGCAACAAACTGTATACAGGTATTGAAACTGACAATAAAAAGGAAATGTAGGCACACGAGTTACAGACCCTGACAAGCCCTCTCAAGCGTAGCGGCAACAGGTGAGTGCATTAGCCTACAGTCAGGTGATCATTAATTACGCGCATCCTTTATGAATTATTTTAATCACTTAAAACCAGTTAATTCTTTGTCGCTGTGAACAGGGTGAATGGGAGATAATTTTAAGGGGAGGTAATTCAATTTTATTCTTCGTATATTTTCTTTCTTGTCAATGGGTATTATTAGTGTGATGATGAACTCGATTTGCATTTTTAATTCCAGGGAGGTAAGTTTTAATTAACTACTAATTTTGTGAAGAGGGCTATAGAATTTCAGTGCAGTTTTTTTTTAATGAAATAAAAATAAAAAAAAAAGAAGAAAAGAAGGGTATTATTGACTTCCGTCTACATTTCGTCCGTGTGTATGTCTCCTGCGTGTCCATATAACCGTCAAGTCTTTTTTTTGTCTTTGGGTGTGGCGTTTATGTGGCGAGCTGTGTGTGTTGGAGGGGTCGGGCAAGACGTTAACGACCCACACTGTCCCGCGTCAATGCTAGGCTAGCCTAGAAAAAAAGGTATGTAATGATGGGTGGGGGGTTGTGGGGTGGGGGTGGGGGTAGGGCAGGAGAGGTTGTCAATTTAGTTTGATGGCATAGGTAATTGAAAGAGGAAGCTCGTGTATTTGTTGGTTTCTGTTCGTTAACATATGGCGCATGTTTTGTTTTAAGTCAAAGAATAGGGGGTGGTGGGTGGGGAGGGGGGGGAGTGGCGGGGTGGGTGGGGGATCAATATGTGATATCAGCGATGATAAGAATGTGGGGATTTATATGTGGTTGTTGTAGTGATTTGTATGTGGTTAGAGTGGTGATTTGTATGTTGTTAATGTAGTGATTTGTATGTGGTTATATGAGACGATTTGAATATGGTTAGTGTAGTGATTTGTATGTAGTTGTATGTAGTGATTTGTATGTGGTTAGTATGGTGATTTGTATGTGGTTCATGTGGTGATTTGTATGTGGTTAGTGCAGTGATTTGAATGTAGTTGTATGTAGTGATTTGTATGTAGTTGTATGTAGTGATTTGTATGCGGTTAGTATAGTGATTCGTATGTGGTTAGTGTGGTGATTTATATGTGGTTAATGTGGTGATTTGTATGTGGTTAGTATGGTGATTTGCGTGTGGTTAGTGTGGTAATTTGTGTGTGGCTAATGCATGGCTAACTGTGAGGTTTTTGTGTTGCTATAGTTTGGTGGACTGTGTGTGGGTGTGGTTGATTTGTGGTCAACTGTGTGTTGTTACTGTGTATTGAACTGTATGGTGTGGTTGGTGTGTGGTGTGGAATGTGTGTGTGTATTCGGTGTGTGTCACGGAATGTGTTTGTGTGGTTACTGTGTGGTAAGCCTTCTGTGTGGTTCGTGTGGACGAGACAAAGTCAGCCATTTAAAGTGACATGCTGATAGTAAACCAACATCAACTATCCAAAGTCTAAGATTTCTGAGTCGATGTGATACCTGTTGGTAACAAAACCATACGTCTTACATATGTGACAATGCATGGAATTGTCCGGTTGCCTTGTAATCAGAGGCGTCGCCAGGGGGATGGACCGCACCGAGAATGGGGTGACACCAAGACAGAAAACATTGCGAGATTTATAGAATAAATGTGTATTTTGCCAGTTCAATGAATAGTTAATTAGAGCTAAAAATATTTTAAGTACATAATTACGATCCAGACGAGGGAGGGGGTGGTTGACACCATGACGTAAACATGCAAACTATAGAGAAAACAATGCTACACCCAGCTGTATTAACAACAGCCTATAGAAAAACATCATTAGTATTAGATGTGAACACTTTAAAGATTTTACCCGGGGGGTGGGGTATGGGGTGGGGGGGGGGGGGGGACACCAACAGAAAAATTTACAGAGAAAAATAAGGGGGGGGGGGTGACACCATGAGGTGTCGCACCGGGTGACACCCGACCGAGCGACGCCATTGCTTGTGATTTGATAACGGTGTATGGTTAGCTGAGTTTTGTATTTCTAATTTTTTATAGGTACCTCTTAAAGCTGAGTTGACTCATACAAGTTATTTAATCTCTCCTCCAACACCACCAGATCAATTCGCTACCAAGCTGCTAAAACAACCAGCCCCACCTAATAAATCACGACCAACCTACCAACAAAACATGTCCCCACACCACTAAATCAAATCACGATCAACCTACTAAAAAAACTTGTACCACATCAATAAATCAAATCACGACCAACCTACTAACAAAACTAAACATGATAAAATTAGACAATTATGACACATATTTCTATTATTCCGATCAGCCCTAAGTAATAAACTAATCTTTGAAAAAATGAGATGATCTTAATAATCCTATCTGACCTTTGATGTTGATGCTATAGATGATACACTCGATGTTTACTTGAAATATGACAAACTTTATGGACCCCTCCTTCAATCTTACTGTCTATGTAAGTAACAGAAAAAAAATATCTAAAAAACATCTAATCGATATTACCCCACATCTAAAATGGCGACAGATCTAGAAAGGGCAACTGCACTACTAGATACTATACTGTAAGACTTCCCGTCGTGGTTTAAATTGTCAAATTTAACCTTAAAATTAAATTTACCATCATTTAAAAAAAAAAGAAAGTATTTGATCAAATAATTCGCCGACAATGCAAATCCTTTGACAACAAACGCGGGTGAACACATCTCAGCCAAATCCGTTCTTTGTTTTCTAGAAAAACAACATTGCTGTTGATTGGTCATTGCCGCGTTGTTGAATAGGGTGACTTGACAAACATTGATGGGAGCCAAATCTTTTAAGCAATGTCTTCGGAACCCAAACAAAATTAGCGGTTTTAAAAGTATTTTTAAAGAAAAAAAAATAACAATGACAGAATACAATCTAAGATTTTTTTTTCTTAAGGTCAACAATGTAATGCAATGAGATGTAAAGTAATTTAGAGTGCAAGTATAGCAATCATTGGCATATATTTGTTAGTATAAACAAGCGCCGAAAAAAAGACCATTTCGATTATAGAATAGAAAAACGCCTTTTTTATTTATTTCAGGAATTAGCAGTGGCGTAGCAAGGGGAGGGCTGGTGGGGCGGCCGTCCCGGGCGCCAACCATAAGGGGGGCCAAAAAGGGTAGAAAAAAAAATATTAAAATGCTTATTTGAAACTGGGATTATACAGTCAAAGGTTGAGAAAGTAAACGGCTACATGGCTTTACACAATAATATAACTGTTTTCGACATAAACTGTGTTATAATACATACAAACATTTACGGGATAGTGACTTGCAGAGGCGTAGCGAGGTCGGATGTCACCCGGTGCGGCACTTAATGGTGTCACCCGGTGCGGTCCGCACCCCTCGCCCCCCCCCCCTCGCTACGCCTCTGGTGACTTGTAAGAAACGCCACCAACCTAGCAAACTGGGGGGGGGGCGATTTTTCACCAACTTGAATAACTACATACATAAATGAGCGGGAGGGGAGCGCAAAATTGATAGTTCACCCCGGGCGCCGGAATGGGTAGCTACGCCTCTGGGAATTAGTTTGTTATGGTTCGATCCGAGTTATTGTTAGGGCCAGTGTTAGAATAACGACGCTAGCTTTAATACCAGTGTCATCAACATGCACCATGTAGTATTATTTGTCAACAAACTATAGTTATTTAACCACATGATATAGTCACTAATATACACACAGATGTTATTTCACTACATACAATGGACATGGTATATTTACATACACACAATACGATTTTATTTTACTACCTAAAGTAGTAAGCTAGCTCCTTAAGTATGTACCTGTAAACAGGTAAGTAACTTCTTTAATACACAAGGAACTTAATACATATTATCAAATATTAGTCCCCCCACCCCCCCCCCCACCAAGTTATTTTCTTTACTTCCTCCACTCTACTCCCCCAACACTTTTTCCATGAACACGTTTCTGTATTTTCCTTTAAGTTTAGTTTAATGTCGCTTCCTT